GGGCACCATAGACCTCCATTATTTGAATGTCAGCAGAACCAACTTTGGATACCAGATCTCCAGATGCATTTGAGATATCAAAAAAGTACTCCAGAGTGTTGTTCAGCATGGGGGTGAGTAGAAAATGAAGGCTAATCATGTTTTGGGTGTACTATTCCTTTAAGGCAGTCGCAGTGGACTGACTCAAACCCCAAACAACATAGATACCAAAATAACTAAATGATCAATATCTTCTCTTGAAAACATACAGCACTTGATTTTTCTTATCTATACATTTAATTTTGATATCTGGGAGGGAAAAAAAAATCACAATATACAGCACTATCACATCCTGCTCCAACATACGAATCAAATGAGGCTCGTTACCAGGCATTTTTCCAAAATGCTAAGGAAATTCACACATTACTATTAGCTGTGTTGGAGCAGGGATGCATCTAAAACCTGCAGGACTAGAGATCTTGAGGAGCAGGGTTGGAGGCTTAGGATCCAGAGGAATGTGGTGCAATGGAACATTTAAAGTGTTATAGGACTTATATTTATTCTTTTTTTAGTTACAGCTCTGCAGAGCGTCTATCAATTTGCTGGTTTTAGAGCTTATGATGAAGTTGATCTATGATAAAAATTTGATGTGGAGTAAAATTAAATGTCTGACATGAAGCTTCAACTCCCCACTTTAACATCTGGGTCACCAGTTCTCCTGTTCCCTGTAAGCCTGCTAAGATGTTCTGGTTGACTGCAATAGATCCAGCCTCTTCCTGGGTCTCATCATTAGTTTGAAGGAGATTAACAGCTGATGAGTTTCTGTTCTGATCGTTCACAAACAGTCATGGTTTTAAGCAGTCATTCTGTTCTGGGTATTTATCTTCATCATGCGATGAATAGGCAGAATAATGTTTAAAGAAAAGTTTTTATCTTTATGTGGTCAGAAATGTCTGATCCAAACCAAAGAACCTCCACTGAGTTTTTTTCCTTGGCAAAACCTCCTTTTCTTCTTCCTCCTCCTACCTGCAGATAAAACCACCTGCTGCCTCTGAGCGTCATTAAAACAGTCGTTATAAGTGAATCAGCAGCAGAATTTGGGAGTGGGTTCTCCTCCTCCCCGCTCGGCTGCTCCTGGGGGTGGCTTCATTACAGAACCCATTAGAAATAATCACAGGGTGCGCGTTCCCAGCAGCTAATGCATTAATTTAATTAGCAGCTTTAACAGCGGCCCGTTCAGCAGAGAGGAGGCTGCGACACACAGAACAGCAGCAGAGGGACAATCGACACCGCAGAAGGATGTATTTCCAGAGCTGCTCCACCCGCCACAGAAAGCCCAACTTAAACACAGAAGTTCTGTAGGCAGGCCTGGTTCTGTTCCTAGAACAGACTGAGGCTCCATGTTGGATCTTGTCCAGTCCAAGTGGACAGGTAGTCCTGGACTGTTTCAGTCGGAATGAAAATTACTGTTAGTTTATCAGCAGCAGAAACACTGACTTCTGTCATTTGGCAGGAGACGGATAAACTGGATTAAATGTTTAGACATTAGGAGTGTCCGATTTGGTCTTTCTGCTGCTTCAGGTCTGATAGAACCAGATGGGTCACTCAAGAACCAGCTTGGATTGTTTAGATCCAGTGATCTGTAACAAGCTCTGGGACTCTTCCAATGCCCCAACAGGGCTTCAGCACCATGGACAGCGACAGTGAGGGCTCTGTGTTACTACTCAGGATTAGAAATACAAGAAAACAATCTCAGCTTTAATCTGGAAAAGGAATCAATGTCCGAGAGAAAATATTAAGAAATATGCCAAAAGAAAATGGAATTAAATTTAGAAAACACAGAGAAAAAAACATGGAAGCAAAAGAATGTTTAAGATGATTGGAAGAAATGGGAATTTGGAGGAGATTAACCAACATGTTAGAGGATGGTAACACCTTCCACGATTTTAGATGTCATTCCCTGTTGGTCGACTAAAAAAACAAAACAAAAAGTAAATGAACATCCTCCAAAGGGTTCCTGGACCTCTGATGTAACATCTTCTACCCTCAGAGAAGAGAACTTCACCTCGGTGCTCCTCGGAGCCTCAGTACTAAGTCAGATCAGAGGAACCTTTGAAGCTGGACTTCACACAAATCTCACCTTCCTCACCTCAGTCAAAACCACAGACTCCGCCCATTTTTGGGACCACAAACAGAAAACTTGACAACACTTACCCAAGCGTTGTCATGGTAACGATGGTGTACCAGAAGGCTGCTGGGATGCTGGTGAACTTGCTGCCTGAGCCCTTCTCAGCATAGAACATGACGGTGGCAAAGATGATGATGGCCATGGTGAGAGAGAAGAGCAGGAAGCCCAGCTCTGACGCACAGCTCTTCAGCGTGTAGCCCAAGATGCGAAGTCCCGCAGAATGCCGCGAGAACTTGAAGATTCGGAACACCCTGAAGACCCGCAGGGTGACGAAGGCGCCACTAACGTCCTCATTGTCCGTCATGACCAGGCCGATGTAGTAGGGCATGATGGCCACCACGTCGATGACGCTCATCACGCTCTTGACGAACTTGTAGCGGCTTGGCGCGGCCAGCAGGCGCAGCAGGTACTCCACCGTGAAGATCATGACGCACGCTGTGTCCAGGCAGAAGAAGGCCAGCGCGTAGCGCTCCCCGCAGGACATCACCTTGACGCGGTTCGGCGCGGCGCCGCACGGCACCGTCTCCACCACGTTGGCCATGACCGACACGGCGATGAAGAAGCCCGTCACATAGTAGAAGACCAGCGCCATGGTGGAGGTGTGCGGGTTCTCAAAGGCGCGCCACATGGTCTCACGGAAGCTGGCGTCCGCGGGCATCAGGTCGTTGGTCTGATCGTTCTCCTCGTCGTCCTGGATGCGCTCTTGGTTCTCCCGCCGCCGGTCCTTGTACTCCTCATAGCAGCAGTCCCCGATGATCTCCGGGATGATGCCGAAGAAGGCCAGCTCCTCTTCGTAGGCGGAGATGCACTCCTGGCGCGGGTAGTGCAGCTTCCCGGTTCGGTAAAAGTTCAGGATGTGCCTGAAGATGTCCGGGTCGCGGTCGAAGAAGTACTCGTTGCTCTCCTCGTGGAAGAAGAAGTCCCGCTCCGAGCTGCCGAGCAGGGTGTCCGGGTACCGCTCCAGGGTGTCCCGCCAGGTCTGGAACCTGGTTCCGCTCACGTTCAGCACGATTAGTCCGTCCCTGCCGCGCCGCTTCTCCTGCGGAGGCACCGGCATGGGCGCGCTGGCCACCGGCATCCAGCCGATGGCCGCGGCGCGGGCGAACGGCATCCATGCGGCGACTCCTGCAGCCATGCTGGCCCGGAGCTCTGCGGAAGGTTCGGCTGGAGGTTCAGGGGGCTGCGGGGCAACGAGCGGACATCCGACGGCGAGCAAATGGAGCCTCCAGGTCCTCCAAGGAGCGGAGTTTTACGCAAACAATCTTTGGAGAGGTGAGAGATGCTGAGGTGCAGGAGAGGAACCAAACAGAACCTCCGGTGATGGAGTCACTTTCTGTTAGTTTGGAGGCAGAAAGCAGCAGACTCACCTCCGCAGGTCCAACCCACTCCTCTCCGCTTGGATCTAAAGATTTTCCTGCAGCTCTTTTTTTTAGTTTTAGCTCTTATGAGAATCCGGTTCTCCAAACCAGAACCAGGACCCGAACCAGAACCACGGGTCCGAGGTGAGCATGTCCGTACCTGCTCCGCACACTGGAGCCTCCCGATCCAGTTCCGCAGCGTCTCTCTGCAGCGAGATGTGCATGAACGGCAGCCGCTTATGGACCCGCAGAGAGGAGAAAATCCGAACCGAACAGAACCGAAAGTATGCAGCCCATCAGGAGGTTCGGCTGGAGGAGAAGCAGCAGCAGCTGCGGTCACACAGGTGCTGCTAATGGGAGGAGAAGCGGAAACTCGCGCTGCTCCTCCTCTCCTCCCTCCTTCTGCCTCCTGGGGGCGTGTCGCCAGAGGATCCCCTTGGATCAGCGGAGAGTTCGCCACGCAAAACCGCGTCACGCAACGGGAGCAACCTTCCGCCTTCTCACTCCGACGCGCTGCGGGGATTAGTGCGTTTAATAATTGCCTCCTGGAGCTGCGCGCTCCCGTCAGCGCTGATGGCGCGTGGAGTTGATGCCTTTGCGCGTGGGTCTCCTCACGACAACTGTTTAAAAAAAAAAAACAGAGATGACAAAGGAAGAGTTCGACTGCTGGTTCTGGTAAGCAGAAGAGCTGTTCTCTGTAAATCTCCGCCAAGTTCCCCAAACACCGATGCAGAATAAACCAGTCTGATGTGCAGAACCAGAAGGGAAAGATGTGTTTCCAGTTAACTGGAGGAGGATTTTCTGCGCCTGCCAGCTTCAACTTTATTTTCAGCTTTGAAAAAATCATATTTTCTCAATAAATCATAAATACCTCATTTGATAAGAGGTGAGAGAAAATTCTGATGTTTCAGAACTATCTGACTGAAGGATCATAACTTAGTTTCTATGAGTGTCGGAAGAAATCAAGTACTTTAAGTGAAAACTTTTAAAATGAACCTAATAAAAGTACTGGAATCCATAGGAGCAGAAATAAAATGTATATTTCAGTCCAAAAGTAAAATGTTTTTGACTTTTTTGACTTAACTATCCATCCATGCAACCAACAAACCATCCATCCATCCAGCCAACAAACCATCCATCCAACCAACAAACCATCCATCCATCCAACAAACAAACCATCCAT